AAGTGTCGTACGCCGTCTTGTTGGCTTGAAGCTGGAGAAAAGCAGTTTATGGACCCCGAGATAGTCCATCAAACTGTTGAAAAGCTAAAGATGATTAGAGAAAGGATGTTAGCAGCTCAGGATTGTTAAAAGAGCTATGCTGACAAGAAGAGACAATCGATGACATTCGAAGTTGGAGACTCGATTTTGCTTAAAGTCTCACCATGGAAGGGACTTATACGATTTGGAAAGAGAGGAAAATTGAGTCCAAGGTTAATTGGACATTTCAAAATTCTTCAGGGGATTGGGAACCAAGCTTAAAAGCTAGAGTTGCCACAAGAACTAGACAGTATTCATAACACTTTATGTGTTACTTAAGGAATTTTATGGGAGAAGTTCCCAATATAATTCCAATTTTAGAGTTAAGGATGGATGAAAATAAGAGGCTAATCGAAGCTTGAGGCAATCGTTGACCGTAAGACTAAGAAGTTGCGCTGCAAGATGGTTAACTTAGTGTTTGTGCGCTGGAAACATACGAATGGGCGAACCTCACCTGTGAAACAGAGAGTGACATGATGATTCGCTACCCACATCTGTTTGTTGAAGTGTGATTCCGGGATGGAATCATCCTAAGGAGGAGAGAATTGTAACGCTCGTGTTTCTAGTTTAAGCATTAATATAATGGTGTAATAGTTATGGTCAACAATTCTAACCTACTTTGAAGTAATAAATAGAAATTATTTGAATATTATGTGATTTTGTGTGCATTATACTTAATTATAAGATAAAATAAGTTAAGAATAAAAATAAGTGTCAAAAAATAAAATAATAGATAATTCCAATATCTATTAAGAAAGTTTTAGTGGTCAGGACAAGGATTCCGGCGATATAAAGAACGCCGAAATCCGAGTTATAACGAAGAAGATATGACCTGTCGAAGTTTCTCGTCAAAATTGACACGACACCGGGTATCGTAAAAAGTGACTTTATGATAAACTACTTTTTAGCCTTAGGAGTCTAAATGAAAGTTGTAGAGTACGTCTCCACCTATGCGTGGATATAAAGAACATCAAAAACGGAGTTTGTATGAAAACGTTATGACCTTCTGAAGATATAGTTGTCTAAGAGCATGACACGTGTCAGAAACCCTAATTTGACTGGACTCACGACGTGAGCCTCTTTTCTCATGACTTGAGGAGTCAAAACACCACATTTTGAAGCTAGAAGTCTATGGAAGTGATAGCTTAAAATCTCACGATGTAAGCAATGAACTCTCACAACGTGAGGAGTCAAACGGACATTATTCAAGCCTAGAACATAGATGTCGAAGCTACGAGGTGATTCAGCCATGGCTCACGGCATGAGCAATGAATTCTCACGACATGAATGGGCCGAATCAGCCTATAAATAGCAAGTTCTACCTCATTCACTTCTTACACCAAATCTTCTTTCTCTCTCTCTCATTTTCTGAAGCCGTTTCGCGTCCCGGGCCCGATGATTACGAACCGTTGGCCATTTTTAGTTAGATTCTATCTACTCACGCTACTAAGGTGAGTGCATATTTATTTTCATCTTATGCATAGATATGAAGTATTTTATATAAATTACATGATATGTGTGCATATTGTTTGTATACTTGTTATCTATGTTAGATGAACACTATTATACATGTTTTAAATGATTTAAACTGTATATGTATTTTATATCTACAAATATGTTGAGGTAAAACATGGGTAGATGAAATAGTTGGTGTGTGATGAAATAAAATGATGAGAGGCCTCGATGTTGTTGTTGATCCAGTCATATAGCAGAGTATAGATGACGACTAAAGACTATTCTAGACAGTCAAGTGGAATGCTAGCAGACCCGCAGCCTATAGGTGTTTGTGAACGATGTGCTCACTGGTGTACTCTATCCCCCTCATGGTTGCCTTACGGACATTTATTGTTGAGGAAACTTCGTAGCAGTAGTGTCCATCCCGATGATAATCCTTAGGCTAGGTCCCTTACGATAGGTGTTTTAGGGACATAAAGTGAGGATAACGAGAATAGGTAATTAGGTTATTGTTGATTGATGAAATTAATAAACTTATTTATTGCGAGTTGAAAACCCTATGTGCTCACTAGGCTCCTAATCCTAACACACTCAGTTTTCTCATATACATGTAGTGGAAAGAGAGCACAGGAGTAATGATCTGATGAAAGATCAATGGATTATAGGCTACTAGAACAAATAGATATTATAATGCCTATGTTGTTTATGTTTCTGCTTTTGACCTTTATTAACAATGATATCCCAAGGCTTTTAATATAATGCATTTCTACGGAAATGCTTTAATAAATTCTTTATCATGTTTTTGGGAACAAATTCCGCAATTTATTTCTTTAAAAATATACTCTGATTTTCAAATAAAGCATAAACAAATCGGTCTTTTCTAGTCGTGAATTTGGGGATGTCACACTTCTACATTCGAGGTGAATTGTCCTCACTATACTTGCGGGTCGAAGGCACCAAAATCGTCCTATTGGATTGATATCGTGTTATGCATGCTACTGTATTGTTATGATTTGTTTGATCGGTACCCTGGTAGATAGGATGTTGCTATTGTGTTGTTATGATCTTTTAGATCGGTACCCTGGTAGATAGGATGTTGTTATTGTGTTGTTATGATCTGTTAAATTGGTAACCTGGTAGATAGGATGTTACTATTGTGTTGTTATGATCTGTTAGATCCGTACCCTGGTAGATAGGATGTTGCTATTGTGATGTTACGATCTGTTAGATCGGTATCTTGGTAGATAGGATGTTGCTATTGTGTTGTTATGATCTGTTAGATCGGTATCCTGGTAGGTAGGATGTTGCTATTGTGTTGTTATGATATGTTAGATCGGTATCCTGGTAGGTAAGATATTGATATTGTGCTGTTATGATATGTTAGATCGGTATCCTGGTAGGTAGGATGTTGCTATTGTGTTGTTGTGATCTGTTAGATTTGTATCCTGGTAATAGGATGATGCTATGCTTAGTTATCTGTAAGATTTGGTTGTTTGGGTTGAGGCGGACCTGCTTTGTGCTGAAGGCCAATAGATCCAGGGCGTCTCGGATAAACTAAAGGCCAGTGGGGCGTACTAGTCAGGCCAAGGACCTGGAGAATGTTCCAGATAGGCTGAAGGCCCGAGGTGGCGTACCAGTCATGCTGTAGGTTCTGTGAGCGTACTAGATGGACTGTAGGCCGTTAGGGCGTTCCAGTCAGACTGAAGGCTCTGTATGCATGTTGTTATTTGTACATGTTATATGTTTGGTGTTGGGCTTTTGGAAGAACTCACTAAGCTTTGCACTTATAGTTTTGGTTTATGGTTTCATGTACTTTAGCGGATCTCATTTGGGTGAAGGCGTGACTATACACATCCTTGCATTTCGGACTTATGATTTATGGGAAAATCTAATAATGTGAATGTTTGAAAACTATATTGAAAGAGATTCTGATTTTTAAATAATTTGTTTTTGGAAACAACGGTTTTTGTAAACACTTCTATAGAAAAAGGGTTGTTTGAAAAGTTTAAGTTTTATGAAATTTTCTGGATGTTACACTTGCAAGCAACAATTCCTTCTTTTCTAGCCTCCTTCTTCAACAATATGCACCAAAATCACTTAATATGCTCCCACACTCTCACAAGCAAGCTTAGACTCTAGATTAGGGTTTTAGTAGGAATGGTGGATGATAGGGGAAGTCCAAGGGATGCATAAGGTGGTTTAGATCAGAATGAACCCTTAAAATTAGGGTTTAGTGACTAGGCTAGTACGCTCGGCGTACCACGCGTATGCCCAGCGTACTAGCAGGACATCCGCGATCCCGCATCACACGAGTATGCTGCGTGTATCCTCAAGTACGCCCAACGTATGACTAAAACGTGAAACTTTTACCACAAGGGACTAATTGTGAAACTTTGATAAAGTTAATAGCTAAAATGATAATACCTAATAATCGGATGTTTCAGTAGGGCAAATGGCTGTGATTGGCTTATTTTGTTTTCTCTTTCTTTTCTATTTTGTTTTTCCAAAATAAAAGCTATTTACAATATCACACCATATGGATGCTATCACTCCTTATCTTTTTACAATTTGGATGCTACCATTTTTTCTATCCTATGTGGCTTTGAAAAATCATACTTGGTTTCGAAAAATATGATATGTGAGCATGCTGAGCATGCATGTTACCACTCCCATGTCATTTTTAATGAATTTTCTATTTTACACTCTAAACTCTAAAGAACCATGTCATATCAATAAAAAAAAAGGGTAAAACATATTATTTTTATTTCACAGCCATATTTATCTAATATAAATTGGGTTATACTTGATGGGCTAATGGCAGATCCAAGAAACGACTCATTAATCTTTAACGTCGTATACTCCGAAATTCCCCGCTACAAAGAAATGTTCTAAATATATATTGTTTTCTCATTTCATTTTTTACTGAAAGAATTTGTGTTTGGATGTGCCATTTGGTTTCCATTAAAGTACTAGTATATATAACACAATTGACACTCTTTTGCAAAGCAAGATATCTTCCAAAATTATTGAGAAACTAATTTTGCTTATAGTCTGATTCAATAGTTTTTTTTTAAATCTATTTCGGAAATTATGTGTAAACTATTATTTACAAAAAAAAAAAAAAAAAAAAAAAAAAAAAAAAAAAAAAAAAAAAATTCCATAAACTTTTGAGACATTTTGCAAAATCTGTTTTTAAAAAATAGATGATCATTATGTTAGGTATATATAGAAGACTTCAAAATACGTTTTAACTCAACATTTTTGTAATTTCTTTTTGTGATTAGCCCATATAATTCAAATATATAAATAATAGCAAAACGTTTGTTCTTCTAGCATCAAAAGAGTGGTGAACTTTTGACTCCTATTGCATCTTCTAGCATGAAAATAGTGGTGACCTTTTGACTTTTATTGGATATTTTGGATATTTTAAGAAATTCGGGAGGGTAAATTAGGAAATAGTGGATGAAGTTGGGGTGGGGGTGAACAAAGTTTAGAAGCATATCTATAGACTATATATATATGAAAATTTTCCCTCTACTTTTGGCAACCCTTTGTGAATTAAACGAGAGATAATCATAATCGGAGATGCCGTGTCTGAGACTGTCAACAAATGTGAGTTTGGAGGGCGTTGATACCTCCGCTATCCTCTCCGAAGCCACTTCCACCATCGCCGACCTCCTCAGCAAACCCAAAGCCGTACGTACACTTCTCTCTCTCTCTCTCTCTCTCTCTCTCTCTCTCTCTCTCTCTCTCTCTCTCTCGTATGTGTGTGTGTGTGTGTTTTCTGTGCTTACTTCAAATGTGAATGTTACTTGATCACTTGATGTTATTATTTACGAGAGTTTAATGTTTCAGTGTTGATCTGTGAACTTTAATTTCCTTGGGTAGAAACACCGGTTATGGCAATATCACTTAGAAATTGATTACACTGATTCTAGAACACAACACGATGAGAAATCATAGTTAAGCCAGATGAGATGAAAGCAAAGCAACTTGGTATTAAGTGAAAGTGCTGATATAATTGTTTGGTTTTTTAAACTTGTGTCGTGGGCAGTATGTGCTGATCGAGTTGAAGGGATCCGTGCCGATGGCTTTTGGAGGTAGCGAGGAGCCAGCGGCGTGTGGTGAGCTGGTGTCCATCGGAGGAGGTCTGAATCCAGATGTAAACAAGAAAGTAAGCGCTGCAGTTGCTGAGATTCTTAGCTCCAAGCTCTCTGTTCCCAAATCACGATTCTTCCTTAAGTTTTACGAATCAGAGGTGACCATTATGTATATATATATATATATATATATATATATATATATATATATATATATATATATATATATCTTCTGTTTTCTTCATTGATGTGTATTATGTTCTCATTTTACTTGCTAAAACCGTTTGTTTGTTTTGTTGTGACAGGGATCTTTCATCGGATGGAATGGATCGACCTTCTAGTCTGCTATGTATCTGTTTCTGGGTTGGTTGGTTGCATCAAAATAAAACTTATTTGAAATGCCAAAACATTGAAACCTTATTATCCAAGCACTTTCTCTTAATGTCTCGTATCGTTGATGTTTGTCGGAGTTACTTTATGGGTAGCAGGTATGTTGCCTCAGCAGCTGTTATATGTATCCAAGCATTTTCTCTTATTATCCTTTATCCAAGCGCTTTACTCACTAGCATAACGTATGCTGTTATAAATCCATGTTAAAAGACGAATTAAGGTTTGGTTCTTTGGTACCTTAGTACCTTACCCATGGGAACTTTTTTTTTTAAATGCAAAGGGAGACGCCAACAATAACATTTTCATCTTTCTCAAAACTTTAATTGAAGAGTTGTTAAAAAGACAGAAAAACAATCTCTGAAATTCTTTTAATAAAGTTATATAACTATTACTTCAAATGTCTCACGTATCAACTTTATAATAAGTGTAAAAGACAGAAAAAAACAATCTGTAAAAATTTCAAGTTACAAAACTTAAACACAGCTTGTTTTGCTCTTATCAAAAGGCTAACCAGAAAAGAAGTCCAATATAACAAATGATTAAATATCGGGTGTTAGAAAACACCCATGAACTCAAAAAAAAAATGACAAAATTGCAAAAATGTTCCGTGATATTGTAAAAATTAGGATTTTTGATCCAAAAAATTTTGAAGTTGTACCCCTTGTCAAAAATAAGTTTTTTGGTGCGAGTTTGATCCATTTAAAAAAAATACTTAAATTGACGAATTTACCCATTTGTCTTCTCTTTTCCGGCTACTAATTTTGTCAGCTACTAAGGACGTGTTTGGCAAAACTAGCGGGAAGCGAGTAATGTTTGATTTTAAAGCGTTTTGTTGAAAGCTTCTCCATATAGCTTTTGATTTTGAAACGTTTTGTTTAGGCTAAATGTTAAACGTTCATATTATCGAATGAAACTTTTTCTTTTTTACGAGCAATGCTTAAAAGCTACAAGTCAGAAACACCCAAACGTTACATGCCAAACACGTCATAAATTTGTCTTCCCATTCTTCATCACATTATTGCCCTCCAATAAACACCACCACTGGTCAACACCTTCACCACCCACCCCACCATGATTATCGCCGGAAATCGTCGTAATTCTCATCGGAAACCATCACCAACATCTGAAACCATGGCGTAGATCCTGATCTATTGGCGGTGATCTTCATCACGATGTGGAGAGACAAAGAAACGTCAATTTGGTAACCCTAGCGGCACATTACCGCCGTCATCTTCATTAGAAACCCTAGCACCACCATTATCTATTTTCAAGTGATATAACCCTAGCGTTACCGTCATCGGTTTTCAGGCAAAACCACCAATATTTATGGAACTATGCGGTCATCGTCTCTTCTTTTCTGCATCTCCCATGTCGTGCTTCCCCTTCGACCTTTCCAATAATAAGCATCTTGTCTTGTGCCACAAAGAGCTCGCTAATGGTGATAGTTAGGGTTTAATGTTTTGGTCATGGTTTCTACGACTGATTGGGTTTTCCTTATTAGGCAACTAAAAGATTCAAATAACATTTCTTTCTCATTTCTTTTGTACAAGTAGTGTAAGGATAGTTCTGCAATCCTAAAACCTTCATCCCCAAATTCACTCTCCTTTCAAATTCACTTTGTGATAACTTTATCAATTTTTTTTTTGTGATAACCTTGGTAGTTAAAGCAACAAGATATCTCGATCTTCTCTTGTCTCTCCTGTATTCTTGGTTGTTATTTGTATACTATTTTTCTTGGTGTTCTAAGGAAAAAGTTGTTTGTGTTTGTCAAATTAAATAACTTTTCTTTTTGCAATAAAGTTCAATTTTTAGTGATCATATTATTTGCTATTGGTGATGGTTTGTATTCGTTCTATATAACTCATAAGAAATTTCCTTTACAGTTGAATTTTGTTAAACTGTTGGGACTAGTGTTCAAATTCATATATTAAATTGACCAATATTATAGACCTTTGAGATTGGGGTTGTTTGAGATCATAGGGTTTCTTTAACTGTGGTGGTTGTATAGACGGGTAGCGGTGTGACATTCTATCTTCCGACGGTGGTGGCAATGATGTTCATAAGTTTTGGCGATTCACCACCTTCGTTGGAGCCGAAGGTGCGGTATAAGTGTATGTAATACATGGTTATAAAAATCACTACTCGGTACCTGTTCGGCCGACTACCAAATAGCGAGTACTTGAATTCGGTAATTCATATAAAAATCAAAATCATAAGATAAAACAATAAGTTGATTGAAATATATAATTAAATTAGATACATGTGAATACACAAAATTTAAAAAACACACAATGGTCTCACTTCGTGAATAATTACTGAAAATTTAAGATATGTATGTAGTAATAATCGCATGTGTGTGTCCGTGTGTTAAATAATAAAGGGAAATCTCCAAAAAAAAGTCCTAAACTTTTACCCTAATTTTTTATTTACTAAAAAAAACATGAATTACCGGTAAAAATAGCGATTTGATCCCCTTTTCCCGGTTTACCGATTTCATTACTTACCTGTTTTGTTAAAGGCTCATTATTTTAGGGAAAATGTCATATTAACCCATCAAACTTATCGTGTTTGTTTTAAAATGTCACTAAACTATTTTTTTGCACATTAAAGGAATAAACTCTCATATCCCTGTTTTAAAATACCCTTATGTTACCTTTTACCGGGTTGAAAGGTAATATACATGCTACGAAAGAACATGTCGGTGTCAGGTCATTTAATGAAATGGCCACATGTAGTACATTTATATTCATGTGTTTTAAATAAACCGTTTGCGTTATACAATCCCCTCCCCCCTCATTGAAGAAACCCCTCCTCCTCATTGAAGAAACCCCTCTTCCCACAATAGTAACTGAAGATCGATGGCTATATTTGTAACGACGTGAAAATTTAAAACAATTTTTTATTTTTCAAACAACATAAAACTCATTTAATATTCTCAAATCTCATGTTCAATAGATGTCATCATGATAAAACATATCCCAAGATCGCAAAATACAATCCTCTGTCAGTGTGTACGGATCATGTCGGCGCCTTCCCGCGATCCTCGCTAGTATCTGAAACACATAACACATAGCACTATAAGCATAAATGCTTAGTGAGATCCCCAAAATACCACATACAACACATATTAGCCATTCGAGGCTATAACTTTGTATGACCCTTTGGTCAGTGTGTACTAGTGGGAGCCTCCAATCCCATAACTCTGTAGACCCTCTCGTCCTAACTCTGTGGACCTTCCGGTCCTAACTCTATAAACTCTGAATCATACATAGCACAAATCACATAGAAATCACATCATACAAAAGCATACAAGATACTTTGTCACATAACTCTGATTACCACTCCAGGTAAAGTATAGTGAGAAGATTCACCTCGGGAAATCTCGGAAAGTCTCGAACTCGAAATGTTGATCTAGCCTCCGCCTAATCACATAAAGTATTTTACCTCTAATTAACCACGATTCTCAAAACTAGACTAGTCCCTTTCTATAATCTCTTAGAAGGGGGAAAAGACCATTTTATCCTTCAATAGTCTAAATGTCCAATTGTTGACCAAACCCTAAAAGTCAACGAAAGTCAACAGAGGGTAGTACGCGGCGCGTACCAGCTCTTGTATGCGGGGCGTACTCTGGCAATCCATAATCGGGGTCTCAAACCCTTACGCGGCGCGTTCTAAGATTTACGCCCAGCGTAAGTCTCAGTTTCATGCTCTTAATTATTTTTGGTCTTAAACGATTAAGACATAAGCTCAAATTCCAGATCTGACTATTCTAAGGCCACTTAATCCATAAAGTTGAAACCTTTAAGCCTTTGCATGGCTGTAAAGGTCTCCAATCACTCTAAACACTTTTCCTCTTTCCTCATTAAGTCCATAACTCATGAATGACTTAATATTCACATCCAAGATTGGATTTTTATGAACCTACAACACATATTACACTGGAAAAGGGCAGATCTAAGCTTATGGAGACCCTTTACTCATAAAGTCTCCACCTTGGAACCAAAAACCCTAAAATGGGTCCATAAAGCACAAATTAACAATGGAAATGAAAGCTTTGAGCTTTTGACCTCTAAATGAAGCTCAAACCTTTATCGAACTCAGATCTAAGCTTGTCCTCCAACTTCTAGCTCCCACAATGGCCTTCTCTTCTCCTCCACCGACACAAAATGGCACTTTCAAGCTTAAGAACATACACATAAGCTTATAACGGGTTTTTTCTCTCTTAGGGTTTCACTCACTACAATATGGTGGCTGGGGTAAGGGCCTTATCATTCCTTTTATAGTCCTCAAGTCCCATTTAGGGTTTTACATATGAGCCAGTTACGCCCAGCGTAACTTTGGTACACCCCGCATACATAATTGAGTTCGTGTCTAATTTAAGCGCATGAGTACGCGCAGCGTACACTTCGGTACGCCCAGCATACTCATTTGCAACATTTTCCACTCAAGGGCTAAACTCGACAACTTGGTAAATAAGAAGGGTTAAATGGTTGTACCTGAATTTCGGGATGTTACAATTCTCCCCCACTAAAACTAGACTTCGCCCTCAAAGTCTCATGCCGTAAACAACTTCGGGTGCTGCTCCCTCATCTCCGACTCTGGATCCTAGGTCAGCTTGGACCCTCTCTGACGTTGCCACTAGACCTGAACTAGGGGCACCTCCTTGTTCCTCAGAACCTTCATCCTCCGATCCACAATTATGACTGGCCTCTCAACGTAATTCAGGTTCGCATCTATCTGAATATCCTCCAACAGTACTACTACCGTCTCGTCGGCTATACACTTCCTCAACTGAGACACGTGGAAGGTATCATGTCTCTGTCTCAACTCTGCGGGTAGCTCTAAACGATACGCCACCCTATCCACCCTCGCGGCCACCCTGAATGGACCAATGTATCGGGGCCCCAGCTAGCCCTTCTTCCTGAATCGGATCACTCCTTTCCAAGGAGATACCTTAAGGAGTATGAAGTCTCCAACCTGAAACTCAAGCTCGGATCGTCGCCTATCCGCATAACTCTTCTGGCAACTCTGAGCTGTCAGCAATCTCTGCCTGACCTGATGTATCTGCTTGGTCTTCTGAAGCACTATCTCGGTGCTACCCATCACTCACTGCCCTACCTCTCCCCAGCAGATGGGAGTCCGACATCTCCTCCCATACAAAAGTTCAAAGGTAGGCATACCAATGCTCGAATGGTGGTTGTTGTTGTAGGAAAACTCAGCTAGCGGTAGGTATGTGTCCCAACTTCCTCCGAAGTCCAATACACATGCTCGAAGCATGTCCTCGAGCGTCTGAATCATCCGCTCACTTTGTCTGTCCGTTTATGGTGGTAAGCGGTGCTAAAGTGCAACCTTGTACCCAACTCCTAATGGAACTTCTTCCAGAACCTGGAAGTGAAACGTACGACTCGATCTAAGACAATCGAGATTGGCACCCCATGCCTTGACACCATCTCCCTTACGTAAATCTCCGCCAGCTTCTCCGCGAAAGAACTCTCACTGATAGCAAGGAACTGAGCGCTCTTTGTCAGTCGGTCAACGATCACCCAAATTGCATCGACACCCCTTGCAATCCTCGGCAATTTGGTGATGAAATCCATGGAAATTTGTTCCCACTTCCACTAGGGAACCTCAAGTGGCTGCAACTTGTCGTGCAGACACTGGTGTTCGGCCTTAACCCTACAACAAGTCAAGCACCTCTCAAAAAACCACGTCACATCCCTCTTCATATAGGGACACCAATACACTCTCTTCAGGTCTAAATACATCTTAGTGGCCTCGGGATGGATTGAGAACCTCGATCTGTACGCCTACTCCATCAGTATGGTACGTGCCTCGCCTGCAAACGGCACCCAAATCCGACCCTGAAAGGTCGAAAGCCCTCGGCTATCGGTAACGAACTCAGACCCTGCCCAATCACCTGCTCTCTCTTGCGGTTCATCAGTCTCACAGCCTCTGTCTGGGCCTCTCGTATGGTATCCAACACCGGAGTCATCACTATCATCCTCATACAAATGTCTTGTATTGGGGCACTCTCCACTCTGTGGCTATCCAACCATCTCCTCTGGCATATGTTCAATTTGGGTTGATCCATTAAGTACTTCAAACTCTTGTGGTAAATCTGTGTATATGGTACACCGAACCCCATACAAATAATGATGCCATATCTTGAGGGAGAACACCACCGCCCCTAACTCTAAATCATGGGTGGAATACCTCGTCTCATGAGGCTTTAGCTGCCTCGATGCATAAGCTATCACGTGCCCTCTCTGTATAAGCACCGTACCCAACCTCGATATCGATGTGTCACAATACACCATAAAATCCTCCATCCCTTCTGGAAGGGCTCACACCGGGGCTTTGCATAATCTCTGGCGAAGCACCTCAAATGAGGCCTGCTGCTCTGGACCCCAACTAAAAGTTACACCCTTCTGAGTCAACCTGGTAAGAGGAACGGCAATCTTGGAGAAATCCCTGATAAATCTCCGATAGTAGCCGACCAACCCCAGAAAACTCCTGATCTCGGTGAGATATCTCGGCACCTTCCATCTCATCACAGCCTCAATCTTGGCCTGATCGACCAATATCCCATTTTGATTGATGAGATGCCCTAAGAACTGGACCTCTAATAACCAAAAATCGCACTTGGAGAATTTGGCGTAAAGCCTCTCCGATCTCAAAACCCCGATAATCTCTCTCAAATGCTCATTGTGCTGCTCTCTGGATCTTGAGTACACTAGTATATCGTCGATGAACACGATCGCCGATCAATCTAACATCGGCCTACAGACTCTGTTCATGAGATCCATGAACGTTGTCAGTGCATTGGTGATCCCAAACGGCATCACCACGAACTCGTAATGCCCATAACGAGTCCTAAACACTGTCTTCGGGATATCCTCATCCCGTACCCTCATCTGATGATATTCGAACCTCAAGTCAATCTTGGAGAACCAAGATGCACCCTGCAACTAATCGAACAGATCGGCGATCCTTGGTAACGGATAACGGTTCTTGATCGTCAACTTGTTCAACTCCCGGTAATCAATGCACATTCGGTGTACACCATCCTTTTTCATGACAAAAAGGATCGTCGCTCTCCACGGCGAGCTACTCGGTCGAATAAACCCCTTCCCCAGCAGCTCCTGAAGCTGCAAGGATAACTCTTCCATCTCTGGCGGCGCAAGGCAATAAGGCGCCTTGACGATAGGCGCTGTTCCCAGAACTAAATCGATGCGGAACTCCACCTGCCTCTCGAGAGGCACACCCGGCAACTCCTCGGGGAAAACATTTGGGAACTCACACACTATCGGAACATCATCAACCGAACTCGGCCTCTCTGCGGTCACTCGTGTGTCCATCATATAGGCTACGAATCATTTACTGCCATGCTGTAAACTCTGTCTTGTTCTGGCAGCCGAACAAAAAGTTGACCCTGATCAAGTACCCTCGCCATACACTGTAAGTATTCCCCCACTAGGGTCTCGTATCGTCACCAGCTGGCGCTCGCAGTCTATAACGGCTCCAAATCGGCTCAACCAATCCATACCCACAATGACACAAACGTCCCCCATCGCGATCGGGACCAGGTCTATCGGAAACTCAACCCCAAAGATCTTGAGTATACATCCTCGAATCACATCAGTAACATATACCGCTCGCTCGTCAGCTATAGAAACTCGCAGAGGTCGACTCAACGCCTCTCGTCGGATACTGATGTGCTAACTAAACACTAATGACACGAAAAATCAAATCGAACCCGAGTCAAATAACACCAAAGCAGGTACAAAATTCACAAAAAAAAAAAAAAAAAAAAAAAAAAAAAAACCCAAACACACCACAATATAAGCACAAAATCTCAAACTCGGCAATAAAAGATAAAGAGTACATACAAGTCACGATTAAGTCAATTCTTAATGCTTTCATTGTTGGCCTTTTTCTACAACCCATGTGGCGACATGGTCATTGAACCGGTCAATCAACTAATAATGAAGGATGACCCCACACAATATCAACCAATGACGAATATCGTATGTTTATTAAGACGAAAGGTCTTTATGGAAATCACACGTTGAATCTCTAAAATTACTTGGATAATTTTGCGTACTTTTGTAGATATGTCATTAGCATTGTGAAAATTTGATGTTAAATATGTATTTGAATTTTCGAGTTTATTGATGAGTTGTCAATTTTTGACATATATTTAAGCTATCTCATTAGAACCGAAAAGGAAAAGAGATTTGTTCGACAAATCAGAAATGGATCGTAATGTTAATTTACACCCGTGGTTCATGTTCCTACAAGTATCTTTTTGATTCACTTTTGTTTCATTGTTATATATATATATATATATATATATATATATATATATATATATATATATATATATATATATATATATATATATATATATATATATATATATATATATATATATATATATATATATATATAACAGGCAAATCTAATCCATTCCGAAACTAACAACACCTATATTCACAATGTGACTTGAAGTCTTGAACCTTCAACTAACAACACCTATATTCACAATGTGACTTGAAGTCTTGAACCTTCAATCTTAAAGAAAGAAGGAACCACCTGATACTACAAGCCCTTTGGTTTCTACAAATATATATAAATAGCAAAACATTTGTTCTTCTAGCATGAAGAGACTCTATTGCATATTTTAATAAATGTAGGAGGGCAAAATAGGAATAGTGGATGAAGCTGGAGTAGGTGGTGATTGGTGAACAAGGGCTTCTATAGGGATATCATACCTTCGGAGGGTTTTTATCTTTTAACACCTGTGAATTAAACGAGAGAAAATCGTAATCAGAGATGCCGTGCCTGAATCTGTCAACAAATGTCAGCTTGGAGGGCGTTGATACCTCCGCCATCCTCTCCGAAGCCACCTCCACCGTCGCCGAGCTCATCGGCAAACCCAAAGCCGTACGTACACTTCTCTCTCTCTCTCTTTCTTCCTCTTCTCTGTTGCGTATGTGTGTGTGTGTGTGTTTTTTCTGTACTTACTTCAAATCTGAAGGTTACTTGATGAGTTGATGTTATCATAGCTTCAAAAATTATCCAAGGAAAAGAAAACCCCCTTTTCAATATTTAAACCTTGGGCCTTGAATTGCTTTTACTAGAGTTTAATGTTTCAGTGTTTATGAGTGAATTTTAATTTCCTTGGGTAGAAACGAATTAAGCACCGGTTATGGCAACATCACTTGGAAATTGATTGCACTGATTCTAAGCAATATAATTTGGTATTAAGTGAAAGCGTTGATGTAATTGTTTTGAAACTTGTGTTGTGGGCAGTATGTGATGATCGTGTTGAAGGGATCTGTGCCGATGGCTTTTGGAGGTAGCGAGCAGCCAGCGGCGTATGGTGAGCTGGTTTCCATCGGAGGTCTGAATCCCGATGTAAACAAGAAAGTAAGTGCTGCAGTTGCTGAGATTCTTAGCTCCAAGCTCTCTGTTCCCAAATCACGCTTCTTCCTCAAATTTTTCGACTCAGAGGTAACCTATATTATATCTATCTATCTCTTCTGTTTTCTTATTGATATGAAATGTGGTGTGTTCTCATTTTGTTTGTTTGTTTGTGTTTTGATTTGATTTGACAGAGGTCTTTCTTTGGATGGAATGGATCAACCTTCTAGGCTATGTGCTCTGTGTTTGTTTATGGGTTGGTTGGTTGGATCAGATGAAGCATCAAAATCGAACTTATTAGTATGGGACTACGGATATCATATCATATTATTATTATTACTAGTGTGAAATGTCAAAACACTGAAAGCTTATAATCCAAGCATTTTCTCTTAATGTCCCATATCGATGATGTTTGTCTGAGTTAGTTGCAGATTTACTCACTCACATTACATCACATATGCTGTTATAAATCCATGTTAAAAAATGAATTACCGTTTGATCCTTTAGTACCTTAAACGATGTAAATGCTAAGGGATACCCCAATAGAAAGATTTTCATCTTTCTCAGAACTTCAACTGAAGAGTTTTGTTAAAAAGACAGAAAAACAGTCTGTAAAAGTTGGAAGTTACAAGTGGACAACTTTAAATTTTCAAGATTTGATTTTCAGCTTGTTTTACTCTTACCAAAAGGCTAAACAGCAAACCAGTCCAATATAACAAATGATTAATATCATAAGGTGTTCAGAAAACACAACTGAACTAAAAAAATAGATATTATCGAAATGTAAGATATCATTGTAACTTTTGCACCTAAAATATCATAGTCGTAGTGCGCTTCTTAGAGGTGCACAGATAGGTTTTACAAAAAGTATCACACCCATTTGGAAACCCGATTTGTCGCCATGGTGAAAAAATGGTTTGGGTATAGATCCTTGACTCGTTTAAGTTGGTTAAAATTGTTATTGATTTACTTTTAATTTTTTTTTTTTAATATTTTTTAGCATCCAGGATCATTTCAGGGGACAAAGAACTATACTTGTCCATAAGTCGAATCCAAACACACACAATAATTTCAAGAATCGATTTCATATCCCAGTTGTCCAGAACAAAAGATTTTCAAGAACTGATGAAGAATTCGGATTTGCAGATCTAATTGCAGAATGAAGATTTTAAAGAACCCATTTTATATAGGTGTTCGATTTGCAGAAGTATTTGGAATTCTTATGTGAATGCAATAAACAACCCTTAAGTTTGTATAAAACCGGTTTTATCCTAAAGCAGCTTTCTTTTCAAAACCGGTTTTTGGCCAATTTGCATGTTGTTTGGCCACAAACCTCTAACACGATAATATTGAATATGCAACAAACCAAAGAAAAGCAAAATATTGCAATCGCATGCTTATAACACAAGAATAATCCAAACTAAATTAAAATCCGTTTCAAAAAATTGAATTACAATTCAATTTACATCGATTTTCACAATATGGTTCCTTCAAGAGATAACAAACGTTAGTCGATTTTTTAGACCATTCAATTCGAAAATACTAAATATTATTTGGCTTTGGTTGAAATCAATTATCTGATACATACTATTCAATACATATTAATAATAAAATAAATATACGTGGAAATATATGTTGATAATTCTGAAGCTAATAAATCTAAAAAGAGTAATTAGACAAATGTTCTCGATCACAATTTAATCAGAATACTTTATCGTCATTTACAGTGCAAGCATATGGCTGTTCAAGTTCAATTAGAATGGAATACGAGAATGACAAAAGATTGAAAACGTAGATCAAAATATCAATGTTTATAACAAAAGTAAGTAAAATACACATCAAAAATATAAACCGAAATGGTAATCAACTAGACACAAATTTTATGAACGATGACTCAGTGCTGCACAATCTAATATTCGATCATAAGACAGTTAATCTTTTCAAATTGACAAAACAAAGCATAGTTTGGATCAAACCGATTTAGGGATCGACTCAGACACGAGCAGCAGCAACCACTGGCGCGGCAGAAACGGCCGCACTGGAGGCGGCGCCGCTAAGGAACGAGAGAAATCCGGTGGAAGCACCAGGCTCTTGTTCATCAAGGAATAGATCTTCTGGAGTCCTGAAAGCACCATGAGCGGAAACAACCGCCGTTCCAAGAAGCAACGCGGAGATCAGTACAGATCCGACACTTGTGAGAAAGATCACGACGATGCTCGAGATAATCAACAGGCCTAGGGTTTCACGCTCGGAGAATGTACGGCCGAAGATCACCAACGGCGGATCGGAGGGACGGAAGAGGTAGAGGAAGAGCCAGGCGGCGAGGAGGCCAACGAGGATGATTAGAGAGAAAGGATTTGTGAGGAGAGAGAAACCGAGGACAGCGGCGATGACGGTGATATAGTTGACACGGAAGTAAGAGTAGTTCTTTCGGATCCGGCCAGCGGCGTCGGTTATGGAGTCAGGTTTGGAGAACGCTGAGCGGTCGACGAGTTCGTACCATGGACGGCGACTGGAGAGTCCAGATCGGACGTTTTCAGTGATGGTGTTGATAAAAGCACGGACTGCAGGGGTGGAAACGGGCGCCTGGGATTCACCGGTGGAAATGGTCTGTTGGTTTGAGATGGGAAGGATCGCCGGTGATGAAGCCATTGTAGCCGGAGATTTAGAGGGAGAATTTGTTGCCGAAGATCTGGAGAGATGATTTTGGTTGTAGACGTATGGATTTCTTGGTTTAAGGTGTTGAAGAGGGTTTGGAGTCGGTGGATCTGATCTCAAGAATTTGATTGTGTATAAAAATTGTACGTAACGCGTTAGAGAAGGGCGATAATGTTATATGACATATTACCTTTTTTATTTTTGGATGAAACGCGTATTTGTGAACAAAGTTTTATGTATAATAAAAATTTACAACCATTTTATATGAATATATGATTATATTTCTTTGTTTTTTATCGCCTTATATTGATACATTTTATGTTAAATTGCAAAAAAAATTAAAAAAATTCGATTTTGTCATCGAGGTTTTTTCGCAATTATGTCACTACATTTAAAATTTGTTGTAATATCAACAAAATGATCGGTTTTACCTGTTTTTCTCGTAATCATTTTTTCGAAATTGCAATAAAGTTATTATGTTTGTCAAAATTGCGATTTTGACACTGTATTTTTTTTAAAATTATGTCACTATATTTATAATTTTGTTGTAGTATCAACCAAATGATTGTTACTATCAATCTAATACGTTAACAAATAAACGACATCACACTTCGATGTGTCGCGACGCATTTTATTAAATGCACCTAACTCCACACATCCAACATTGCAAGGCAAAAACTTCCCTATAAAAGGAGGGGTAAATAGCACAAAAGACAGTAAGTTTATACAAAAATTCTAATTTGACACTATGTCTTTTTGTCTCAAATTTGACAGTGTGTGTAACATCCCAACATCATGTATTTTTATTATTGCTTTTATCTTTTATCAAAAGTTGCACAATTGGTCTCTAAAGGAAAAAGGTTTGCATTGTGGTCGTACACAGGGCGTACTCAAAGAGTACTCATGCAACATGGAATCTCGAGCGATCAGCTAGTATGTTGGGCGTACTAGCCCAGGCTTCAAACCTTAAACTTAAGGGTTGCTCTCTATTTAAACAACATTATGTCCCCATTTAACCATCCTTATCAGCCATCATACCCTCCCTAAACCCTAATTCCAAGCTTTAATTGCTTGTGTGAGTTTTGCAAGCTTATTAAGTGTTTTGGTACATCTAGTTGAAGGAGACTAAAGAAGAAGGAGTGGGTGCTAGCAGGCTTGAAGATCCATAAACTTTTCCTCTTTGTGCATCATTTTCAGGTATAAAGTTTATACTTTGATAAGTTTTCCATTAGATCTATATGGTTGAAGTTTTATTAACTTTTGTCCCCAAGATTGAACCTTTAGGAGTTTGGAGCACTCCATGGGCTTGTAGTTGTCCTTTCATGCAATAGATGACTTGTAGAATCATAAAAATGATTACTTGATCAATTCATGTCACACCCCCAAACCAAGGATGGCGGAAACGTCCGGGGGTGGAGGACTTCATGTATAGTATCACAACAACGTGCATAATAGTGTTCAAAGTAAATACAACCATCATAAATATAATTGAAAAGATTACACCAAAGTATATGTTTACATGTTTCACTCAATTACATTATGATGACAAAATGAATTGTTTGACGATTTAACGTCCCATCCTCAAAATGTTGTTGGTTTTCATGTTTCACTGATTTCCTGATAATACAAGTAGTTTTGAAAAGGTGTCAACAATTAAGTTGGTGAGTTCATAAGCATTTGAAAGTAAGAGTTTAAAAGTCGCTCTTTGCATTGACTTGTATGTTACCAAGAAAATCCAATATTTTCCTTATATAACGATATGTAGTCTTAAAACCCAAGACTGGATGTGGGTGTGAGTTTTGTGTTATGTGATCTCAGATACTGAGACCGAAGCGTACCAGCAAAATCCGTACCTATTGTTATTAAAAGTGGCTTTAGATCAACATGAAAACCCTTTTTGATTTATAAAATCTCGTATACTTTAAGTTTTGTTAACTCCCTATGTGGGTCACCATAATTATACTAAGATTAACCGGCACTTTGTAATGTACCCCTTTTTGTATAAACCCGGTACGTTGTACTCATACCCCATTTATATGAAGACCCGGTACTTCGTGATGTACCCCTTTTGTATAAACTCAGTACTTTGTATTCGTACCCTATTTATATGAAGACCCGGTACTTTGTGATGTACTCCTTTTGTATAAACCCGGTACTTTGTATTCGTACCCCAGTTATATGAAGACCCTGTACTTTGTGATGTACCCATTTTTGTATAAAACCAGTACTTTGTATTTGTACCCCATTTCGTATGAAAACCTTTTGCAGTGTATATGAACATAAACTATACCTATTATAGCTTATCAAAATGTTTGTAATGTATATGCAACCTAACTATACCTAGTATAGTGTAGTATGTTTGTTTGTTATGTATAAGAACCATTTTCTATGTAAGTCGAATGTATGGTAAAATATAACTATCTTTATCATTCTTGTTTTGTACTAATGGTAATAGAGGAGGATTCTTACACTTCAGTGAGTATTTATCTGTTATGTAATTATACCACATCAAGAAACACATGTAAAATATTAAATCTTCAATATTAACACTTTGCTCAACAAGTTACAAAGCGCAATGAAAGTCATAAACTGTTATCTAGATTTTTACTTTTCTACATTGTTTTAGAAAATTCCTAGAAAAATCATATGAAGTCGAAAACTGATTCCATAAATTCTGGAAGTTTGTGTTTAGTTTATTCATAATTTTTATTATGATTTTTAGAAGTCTTTAACTAGTGTTAAAATGTTCATATTCATAGACTGGTCCGTATTTGTTTTTGAAATGATAGGCAGTTTTGTAAAAATCACCATAAATCGTAGAAAAATCATGTGGAGATGTGCAAGTAGTCATTTTAAAGCTAAGAACTGAAACTACATGCACCTAAAACAGTTTTAAAAAACTAAAATGTTTGAGTTTCCCAAAACAGTCTGTGAATGGGGTTGAAATTTTCTGATGAAGGCTGCTAAATGAGTTTAGTTGTGTTCTTAGTGTTTTACTTGTATTCCCCCCCCCCCCCTAAAACTTAAGAAAAACATGAAAAGATAGGGGTATGAGCTCACCTTATGTGTTCTTAGAGGATGGATGTTGGAGAAGAGAAGTGTTCAACTCGAGAACACTTAGATGATGCTTGAAGATTCGAGGATCAAACGTGGAGGAAAAACCCAAGATTAGCCCTTGGATCTCGAATTTTAGAGAGAGAATGTGTTTGTTCTCCTTGAGAAAGGGTGAATAAGGTGGGAGAAGAGATAAGGATCTCTCTAGCTTTTGTTCAAGATTATGGATGAAAAAGAGTGTAAAAAGGACAATGATTGACTAGGCATGGGTGAATAGTGATTGGGGATGTACTATGAAGGTATGGGGAGGTTGCTTGTGTCCTTGTCCAAAGGATAAGTCAACACTCCACCTAAATATCTTACCAACTAGATTTTATTCTTAGGCAAAGATTTTCCCCAAAATATAATTAAAATATGAATATTTGGGGGTTTATTATGTTAAAATACGAGTTTGGGTGAAAATCCCGTGTTAAAATCACGAAAAACTGGCACAAAACGTGAAAATGGTCAAAAACCAGAAAAATATGCGAAAATCCGAGATCAGGGCAGGAGGTACGGTCCTTTATGATTGGAACCGAAAGTAGAAGGGAGCCGAAGGCGAGGCTCGGTCGGAGGAGGGGAACCGAGAGAGGGGCTCGGCTGGAGACTTTCGCAGGCGAGAAAGGGAGCGAAGGCGAGGCTCGATTCAGGTGGTTTCGGCTCTCAGAAGGTCTCGGCTCTCAGGAGGTCTCAGTTCCAGGGTTTCAGTCTTTGGCTGTCTCTCAGTTTTAGAGGTCTTGGTTTCGGTTGCTGGGATATTGGTCCTAAGGTTTCGGCCCCTAAGAGATTTTGGCTCCTGGATGCTGTTTTTCTTGTTTTTACCCCGTTTCAAGCTGTTTTTTACCTGGTTAAGGGTCGGGATGGCCCGAAAGACTATGAAAAGTTACGGGAACCTTTGAGAGAGATTTGGAATATATATATATATATATATATATATATATATATATATATATATATATAGAGAGAGAGAGAGAGAAAGAGAGAGAGAGAGAGTGTGAGTGAATATGATTTAGAGAGGTTTCATCTGTGACATTTTTGAGTGTCCGGCTTCGCAATGCAATGTCCGTAAACCCCGTTACGCCATGTTTTAGTGTCTTACACACTCCCGATGAGTGTGCATTAGTGTTTATCGCTTTGGTTCATTGTTTACCGTATTTAAGGCTTAGGAATTTCAATCACACGGATTTTCCAAATGATGTTTTCTCATCACAGTAGTGAGTTGTACAGTAATTACCTAACGTAAGCCCTAGTACACAAGGGTTAATTGAGTCGACCGGTTTGACTTGTTGACTTTGTTTGACTTTGACTTGACCGGAAATTGACAGTTGTCACAATTCATATGGCTTATGCATGAGCAATGTAGTTTAGAATGTGTTGAAGTTTAAGTTTGTTGCATTAGGACTTTTCTAGCTATGCAAAGGCTTAAAATTGATGAATTTATGGAATAGGACATCTTAAAATGGTCTAATTTGTGGTTAGCTTAGTTGTCTTAAGGGATTAAGACACAAACTGGATGAAAGTGGAAACAGACGAAGTACGCCATGCGTACTCCTAGTTGTACCCCATGTAGCCCGTTCCAACCCCGACCATACATTGTTCGAGTTGTACTCCCCACGTAAGAAGAGGTATGCCCAGCGTACTCATTAGGCGGTTGACTTTTGTTGACTTTTGACCTTTAGATAAGATTTAGGGTTTTGGGTCATGGGAAGGGAAAAATGGGCTTTTGGCCCTTAGAAGACTTAGGTGTTGTTTTTTTTTCCTAAAAAAAACCTCGTTTAACCACTTATTGTTGTGCCACGCAACATACGCGTAACACTAGGCCTTCTCAGTTTTTTGTTTTTTAGAATACTTCTGACTTAAAAACTGTTGTGTGTGTGCCACGTGGTGCAACACTTGACCCT